ATTAAGGAATGGCTGGCATTTGCAGGGCTGCATTTGTATTTGCCAGCCCTCAGTGAGCTTGGAAATCAGGAATATTTCTTAAATTCAGTATGTGATGAAGGTCCAGGATGGTCCACAACGGTGTGGTGATATCTACAGATCCAGATGAATTGATGGGCAAGTTTGGCTATGCTCAAACTAGCAACCAGCCAGGCTCTGGCTCTAAATCCAGCCCGGATGATCTGCCCACAGCTGTAATACTAAATCCTTTTAGCCTCTGCAACAGAGCTGCTGCCTCCAAAGCTGCCCACGGGAACAGGTTTGGGACTCTGCTCATTTCCAAACCACGGCTGGGACCTGTTTGCAACCATGCTGGCCAACCTCGCTCAAAACCAACCTCGCTGACAATTTAATAGTACCAGTATTTGACAGCCCAGGCTCTACCACTGTGTAATTTATTGGCAAAGATGCACTTTCTGGCTCCTTTAGTTCAGATGGATGGGTCTGCACACTTTTTTTCTTTAGAGGATGAGCCCAGTGTGTCCTCAACTACCTCAGTGTGTCCCTCATCTATCTCAGCATGTCCCTATTCAACGACACAGTAAATACAAAGACAACCAAATCCACCCTGAACACTTTGGGGGCTCCAGTGCATGGGACAGGAGAGTTTGGGCATGGTGGCACAAGGCCAGCATCCCCAGCTGACAACCACCTACAAAGAGTGAAAGCCTGGGACTGGAAAAGGCAGGTTGGGTCATTTGTCCTGCTATTTAGATTCAGATTTTCAATTTTCTTCTTTGTCATACAGGTATTTGCCAAACACAGCTGTGTTGGACAGGCTCTTCCACCGCCAGCACTGAACGTGTTCATGTTACACTTGCAGGACAGTTCCTCCAGCATCTTAAGAACCTTGACCCCACACATCTCTCTCCAAGGTGAAGCAAAAAGCAAGAGACTAGCATTTAGGCAGAAGGGTGAGGAGGTGTAAGTGTAGGAGAAGAATAAGTCTCCCCACCTTCCTTCTCAGTATTGTCAAAAAACTAAATTCAAGCTCAAAACCTGCAACCACAGAGCAAGTAGAGGTCAGGGTGAGGCAGGCCACAGCAGGGTTAAACCAGGACTGGAGTGTAGCAAGGCTGTGATATGGGTATGTTTATGGGACAGTAAAATCATCCCTTAAATCACCTCATCAAAGGCAGACTATCAGATCAGACGTGCCTGTACCTGACTTGCTCACCTAGGCTCACTTTAGAGCCTGTGGAGACAAACAGGCTCTTCCAAGGCATGGCCAGGGACCAGTACAGCTCTTCTGCAGACTGGTCAAGTCCTGTAAATGCCAGTTTGTCCCCACGGACTCAAAAGGGAGCTGAGGGTGACTGCCTCAGATATGGATGTCTACCCTGGGGATAGCTATACCCATACCTCCTCCACCTGACTTCAGGAACAACCCAACTTCTGGAACAACTCCCTGCTCTGAACCTTGCATGTGCTGAGGCCTTGCTGGATGGGTCCCAAAGCTTTATGTAAAATGGCTGTGATGTGTATTTATATGAATCATATGCATTAATTACATAATAGACAGTCATGCTCCCCATCCCACATGCACGCTGGTTATGCACAGGACACAAAGCCCGAGTGCAGTCACTGTGAATCATGCAATAAGACTACATCCCTCAGGCAAAACTCTCTCCAAAATGACCATGCTCATATATTCCCATGGTTTCCACTACAATATTATTTAATTAAGAATATTAATCTGCTAGGCCACCAACTTTCACCGTCTTCTGGGGAAGTCTGAGCAGACAGAGATTTTAATAAAATGTGGGGAATCTTGCTCTTTTTATGACTGAGTTGGTACAATAAGGTAAGTCAATTGCATGGTCTCATGAGCTTATTTTTTTTTATTCTTGATGTGAACATGAGACTTATGCACCAGAGATATCATTGGTTCAAAAGCTGTATGACTGATGCCAAATAATCTTTTTTTTGCTTTGCTTTTCAGTTATTGCTGTCGCATACTGCCCAGTTATGTGTGACACACCATTAATTAGTTGTGTGACGCTGCAAATACAGCACTGATCTCCATTTGGAGAATAAAAGACTAACACTTGATGCCTGACAGCCATGGGCACTCATTTGCACGTGCCTGCAGCCTGCATGCAAACTTTTCAGTTGTGCAAAAAATCAGTCTAGACACTGACAGGACCAGTTCAGCCACGTTACAGCAACCTGCCCCAGTAACTCCTCAGGGTTGCAGCCTTCTGCCCTTTTCCCCTCTTCCATGGGATGGAGAACTGCATGAACTGTTACAGCAGTCCCCATCACCTCCTGTCCTACAGCTCCAAACTTCTGATGCTCAGCCTAATCTGGGACTCAAACACAGGCCTCCTCACCACCAAGAGACGCATCCATCCCAGGACGGGGAGGACCACCACTGTTTCTTATTATGGGAGTACCATCAGAAACAGCTCTAGAGGGCTGCCATTGACAATACAACCAGGAGCCACTCCTTTGGAGGACCTAATGCTTTATTAGATTTTTTTTTTTTGTCTTTATTAGACATCTATTTTCAATGTCTGGGTGAGCACGACTTAAGCAGTTGTCTAGGCAGAGCCATGGAGGCCTATGGAAAGGCTGAGTGACTTGAAATTGTGGCAGGTAGGAAGTCCTGCGCCTGTAGGTGTGACATCCAAGGCCCAAGGGGGAAGTTTTATCCATTTTTCCTCCTGCATGATGTTAAGCAACAGGCAGTAAATATGGCATTCATTAAAACTACCTTGTATACTTTTAATAGCCTTGATAATCAGATTTCTGCCACTGTATCAGAAAGCAAAGTTTGTTTTTATTCAAGGCCTTGTAAAACTCTAATTTCTCCCTCATGCATTAGAGGTGCCTGGTGTTTTCTAACATTTTCAGTTGTTTTCTCAGCAGTTATTTTCCCCCATCAAAGCTCTGCTCTCCTCTGAAAGATGGAACAAGTAACTGAGTGGAGAATTCATTTCTCCATGTGTGAGGCACAAACTAGTGGCTGTTAAGGGGCAGCTTTAAAGCTGCATTTCTCCCTGTACTTTGTATACATAAGGGGTCAGATCCTGCCCTCCCCTCTGTGGCACTGCTAGGTAGACACCCTCAAGAGGAACCTCAGCATCTGTGGCTGGGGCTGCAACGTGCTTCTTTGCAGCTGAGCATCAGGGCTTGTCCTCCACCCAGGGACACCGCTCTGTATTTCTGAACATCAGCAAACCCTGCAGACAACCTCTGGCACTTGCAGAAGATCAAAGCCCCCTTTTTCAATCTTGAATCGAACTGGAAGTAAGATCCCCACTCTGGGAAAAGGTAAAAGCCTTGCGGAGGTGTTGGTCGAACCCCCAAAAGATGAAAGGCAAGAAGCGTGAAGGCAACCGACCGTAGAGCAGCACAACAGAAAAGTTCAGTTTGCGGCCACATAACGTACACAGCCAGGTCTTTAGTCATCCTGCCTGTGCCCACATGCCAGGCGCTCACGTCTGAGTACACACAGACAAGCAAGGGCTGCAGGGCAAGTATGCTGCAGTGCAGCTGCCAGGGTCCCAGCCGAGCCTCTCCTGGAGGTATCGCTGGGGGCACGGCTGCAAAAATAACCCATCCGACAACACAGACCGTCAGGAGGCTCTGACTCAAAGGGAACCTGTTTGGGGCCAATCAAAGCATTTCCTCAGCATCAAGCCCGTCGAGGCTTTTGAACCAGGTCAGCGCGTTGCAGAGAGAGCCCGCGGGAACCTGCTCCACCCCCTCCAGCCCTCGGCCCCACGAGAGGCAGAGCGCAAGGGCCGCAGAGGGCTTCGCCGCTGTCTGCTGGAGAAACAAAGCATCCCTCCTCCAAGATGAAAGCAATCGAGGAGTCTGTGCTAATCAAACCCTAGGCGCCTGCTGGCTGAAGTTCAGCTTGTGAGGGATGCAGCTCCGTGGAGGGATCCACACTTCCAGCTCTGTGAGCTTGGTGGAAGGGGAAAACACGACAGCGAGAACTTCAGCTGGCTGCGAGTCAAACAGGTGTATGGCAGCAGCACCCAAGATTATAATAATATCTTGCAAACATGCAAAAAATAGATGTAATAAGACTGATTCTTTGATTTTCATTAATGAATCATAAAGGCTTTCTTTACATTACACATGCTTTTTTGGCATAGGCTGTTAATATTTCCACACTTGCAAGGTTGGAGTTTTAAGACTGAGCCTCCCTCCCCTAAGGTTCCCCATTTTTGGCAAGCTATACAAGGTGACTGTGTGCCATGACAGGCTCTATCTTACTTTGGGGCAATCAGATTACTTCACACAGATGGTTTTATCACTGAGACCATTAGAAATGAATTGCACAGCATGTAAATGTTCACTTGTTTCATAAAAATAAAACAACCAAAAAACAGTCTCAGTTCTTCACTGCTGTCTTGTCTATGTTCCTAAATATATTTCCTCCCTCCTGCATCATTCCAAAGCACAATTTGTCCAATCTTTACCCTAAAGTGACTCAGCTAGTTTCTGATAGGCATCTTAAGTACACAGTAACTACGGAAGCAGGCTTTCGTGAGCTACTGGATTGAAATGCAGGAGAATGAACCTTAGCCTTAACTGTTGAAGAAACAAAGGCATCTCTCTGTCAGGACGCCCAATATCACACACGCCACAAAAGTAAAGCACCAAAAAATAGAGAATATCACAATTACTTTAAAACATGCAAGTAAACACCCTCTTGGAGGGGGAAAGAAAAGATAGAATTTGTTCACAGAATCAGGTTCACAATTTAAAAATAGTCCGATCTGAAATGGACCTAGAGACACTCAAACGACACGTGCTCAGAGCAACACAGCAGCTCTTCCACTGCAGAAAAAAAGGGACTTTGACCCCCGCCCACCATGCTGTAACCCTGGCATCACTGACTGAGCCTTGCTCTTCTCAGTAAGGTTTGTCTGAGGCCACGGAGGCAGCCTCTGCCAGTCCTTCCCCGCTCTGCATAATGATTTTAGGGAAAACATGGTCTTTACCTGAGAGGCGTCTGGGCACATCGGTGATGGCTGGAAGTCCTGTGCCTCGAGTGGAGGACAGGGGAGTTGTGGAGTGAATGGACGGTGAAGTCATCTGGCTCAAGTAGGATGGGTAAGACTGGTCATAGGACCATGGTGGGGATGACTGCGCCTGCCTCGGGTCTAGGGAAAAACAAAAAAAGAAAGGAAGAGAAAATGTTTTAAAAAAGAACAAAAAATTTTAGGGCATCAACAGCCTAATTGAAAGAGGTGGGATTACTGAGCATACACACTTTGGTGCTATAAGGAATGAGAATGGAATGAAACACAACCTGCCGCTGTAGGACTCAACCCCTTCCAGCCTTACTCTGTGCCCTCCCCTCCCCACAGCAATTTTTTGGGGAAATGAACAGAGCAGGGAGCAGAGTTTCAAAAGGTCTGGCAGCTGTGCTGCAGATTCCTGGTGTCTCTCGTCCAGGCCTAACAGCACGTTACACCGAGACTTGCCAGTCCCCCAGGATTTGGACAGATAAGCAGACAGCAAGTACAAGACGCGGGTCTGAACTTAGGAAGTGGATTCAGAGGTGGGGAGACTCTCCAGTCAGCACTTGGCACGCTTGTCAAGTTGTTACCAGTTCAAACATTCCACAGTAGTGTTTTCAGTGCAGAAAATACTATCCAAGAAGGAAAACGTCATTAATCTTATCAGTATCCGTCCAAAAAATGGCACTTTTGGACGGTGGCCCAACTACCTACAGTCACCTCAATTACAACAATACAAACCCAAATGGTTTGGGATAACTATCGGAAGTTAATGATGCCTTTGATGTACTTGCTACAGCCAAGGATGAATGATTTTAAGGATAAATACAGTTTTGCTGAAGCACTGGTGAGTTGCACGAAGTGAGAGAGGGAGACCTACTTTTACTCACTGATGTTTGGGTTTATAAACCATGTGGTCTCACTTAATATCTGGTGATAAAGATACCACCGAATGCCTCATAAATTATTATTTTTATTTCTTTACATCGATAAAAACAAAGCACTTTCAACCTCAAAGTTTTTTTTGGGCACTGCACGATAAACAGAAAAATATATTTGAACTGGCTCATAGAAATTGTAGCACATCCCTCCAAATCCTCCTCAGTATTTTCAGTCAAACACATCAGGTCGTCTCAGTTTGGTGAACCTGCTACATCAGAGCGCTGTGCTAAGGCCCTCCTTTGTAGACAGTAATGTGATAGCCATGTGGCATAAGCAAAGCACTTTTTCAGGAAATTCAACTTTTTTTTCTTTTTTTTTTTAAACTCCTTTCCCTGGTCTTCCACACAGCACAACCTTGTAGTTTCAGCTATCCCTTGTTTATTTTTAATGCTCAGACACGATTTGTTTGAAGAGATGTCTGGAAAGCAGATACTTCCTTGAAGCAAAGTAACTATATAGATAAATAAAAACCCTCCAACTTTCCAATTTAATTTTAAGAGGATTTTCCTGAAGTTTGCCATTTATATTAGAGCTGAGTAATATAAATGGTTAACAAACTCCTAACAAATCCGAAGGACACTTGATCATTAAATGTAATGAACTTCTTTGTTTTAACAATTTCAAGGCTAGGGTTGTATAGATTGGCTCAGGTTCAAATCTGACTGACTGCTCGTTGTTGTATCTGATATCGACATATTTCTCTGCCTCATTCCACTGCTATAATTCACCATGCAGTCAATGGTAAATGATCTTCAACTGGGAATGGAAAGCCTAGGCTTGCTGGGAAAACAATCTTAAAATTAATGATGTGTCAGGAGCACAATCTCAAATCCGAGCTCCTTCGAACTCCAAGAGCTTTTCAATCTCTGCTTCCGAATCTAAAATACAGTCCCTTAAAGTTTGGGGTTTAGGTCAGCTCAAATGCTGGAAGGAAACCATGTAGTAGGTAAAGGATGAAAAAGAAGTCACAGTAGAGGATGTTTTTACAGGACTTTGGTCTAAGATGGTGAAAACCTGAGGAAAGGAGCTGCCTTCTGGAAGTTCATGCCACTTTTGGAAGTGCAGTCCTCATTACATGAGAAGATCTTGAGTGTCTCTAGCACCCTCCCCACACTGAACGCTCACGTTAGACCTGGTTGTACACCTAACATCCTTAATCCGACTACTGTGAATGCCTGTGTGGACACAAGAAGCACGAATGGCAAAAAGTGGTCATCAAAGGCCTCAAGTGGTCTTTCAAAACAATACCTCACTGTCAGAGGTGGAATATGGGGCTGGATGGACCAACAGTAAACCCCCAAACATACCACATACTCTTACAACGTCTAGCTTCAATCTATACACAGCCTCTATAGCTCATTCCAGCCTCAGAGATGCAATACTACATTTCTTTTTTTTAGATATATACTTTTTATTTCAGCTCTCCATGAGTCAAACACTGTGATATTTAAAACTGCAAAGCATTTTAGAGAAAGAGAAAAACAGAGGGTGGACTGTGAACAAGGCACTGTACTGAGACATAACTGCTGCTGGCTCTGAAACAGATCTCCTGTTGGACCTGGATAACTCACCCAATCTCCATTTGATATAATTTCTACCTAAATTTAAGGATTAAAATTATATATTGCATATTTAGTTGGTCATTTCTTTAAGGTGTAGGCACTTGAGTACCTTATTCACAAAATGAGGGGGTTATCGTGGATGGAAGCCTTCAACCCAGGTATTCTGGTGCAAACTTCAGCCCCTCTAAAACCAGAGTGCAAGAAACTTGGCTCCAGGGAAATGAGGACATTTCTTCTCAGAGCATAGAAGGTAATAAAGAGGAAAACCCTCAAAGAAATAGAACATCAGATGATGAATTGGAACGCAGTGACTGAGGATAAGGTCACAATACCTCAGGCTGGAGGGTTACTGTGATTTCTCCACACTAAGGCATGGCTGAGGTCATGGTCAAGACAGAATGGGGAATTTTGCCCTGGGCTTACTGGCTTAAAGTCTTATCTTTGGTCCATTAGGAAACCAGAAAGTGAAGATACAAGTTTCACCACATCTTAGATTAAATGCCCTAAAATCAGCATCTGCTGACGGAGCAGCCAAGGTGTGCATGGATGTGAGAGCAGAAAGCAGCAAAATGCCCTTGATGTACTGCTAGCCCACAGGCTAAACATTGCTGCTCAGCAGCATTGCTCTGTCTCCAGAGTAAAATATTGGAAAGCAGAATCCAAAGCTGCCCAATCTAGTCTTAGAAGGTGGACATGCAGCTTGATCTCACATGGCACTCTTTGATCCCACCAGCAGAGATGTTCCCTGCAGTGCTGCTGGAGCAGAGACTTTGGCCACTGAGGTCAAACCAGCCCATCTCTTCTGGTCCCACACACAACCAAACCAAACCAAACCTCTCTGGGGGAAGGAGGGTGCTGGGAGCACCATGGGAGGTGCCAGCTGCCAGAACAGCACTTCCAGGGCAGATCCATGCAGATGCTCTGAAGGAAACGTAACAATGTCCTTAGGAGGATCACCTCTTCCTTGGTCAGGCATGAAGGGGTGGAGTGACTTAGCTCATACCAGCTGGGAGGAAGCTACAAGTGGATTTGTGAGAGGTTTTCCTCAGCCTCCTACACCAAAGACCAGCTTCCCCGTTCACTCTGGCTGGTGGGCCCACATGTGTCCACCAGGCTCCTGCGGGCCAGGGGCTTTGCACTGTCACCCAAAGCACCACATGCTCTGCAGGCACAACACATCTTCCCAGTCGTGAACAGACGAGAAACCTTTGAGCTCTGAGGCAGAGTGGATGTGGATTCCTCCCTAAAGGAATCCCTCCAAAACAAGGGAAAATGCTAATACAAAAATCATGGAACAGCTCAGGAGAAAGCCCCACATTTTCTTGTACAGCTACGGGGGAGAGCCTGCAGAGCATTCAACAACAGCAAAAGAGGCAGAGGGCCACTCAGAGTTTGCATTTGCAATTGAAAATCTTGGAGTGATTACTAAGAGCAGTCCTCCTTTTGTAAACATTTCTGTTATGCCTGCGTGGGTGTGAAGAGAAGTGTGGCTTTCAGCATATTCCTTCACAACAGGGCACATCGTGTGTCTGCTAAAAAAGCCTGGGCACAGCTCAGCTGAAACAAGGCAGCGGGGCGAGGTCTGAACTAATGCACAAACAGCTCCGTCCTGTTTGCTCTGCCACGTAAACCTCACCAAAGCAGGAAATATCCAGTAGTGCAAATTATTTTGTGTCTAGGTTTTACTGCCACATTTATAGTCCGTGGGACATATACACAGTTGTTGACCCTTGTGGTCTGTGACTTGACTGCATCAATGGACAATGGACACTGATGCTTAATGGACAATGAGTGGTTTTAAAAATCAGTCTAAGTTTGGATGCACTGTATAGGACTTAAAAAAAAACCCAAACCCAAATCCAAACCAAAAAGACAGTGACCCATTCTCCCACTGATGACATTGTCTCTCCAGCAAAGTGACTCCTCTTCCTTCAATGGAAATGTTCTGAAGTGTCAATGGAAAGAACAAAAAGCCCATAAACAGACCCAAAGAATGAGTTTTTCCACTACTTCGGCACTGGATTATGAAGCACGCAGATTTACTACAGAAAAAACAAAATCAATTTCCTATTTCCCAAGCTGAGTTAGATGATCAGAGCATGAGCAGAGGCTGGCAGATCCTTGGTGTATCATCTACAACACCCCAATGTCACATGTGCTCACGTACTCTGCAAAACCACCCTCATTTAAATCCAGCCATCAGCTCCAGCACTGGCTGCTGTGGGTTGTATCAGTGCTACCACCGATACTCAAAAACAAGCTGTCTGGAGCTATCTTTGGCAAACACTTAAAGCAAACATCCTCACTTCTGATCTTAATAAAGCCAAGATGACTTTCTGCATGAGTAACCCAACTATTGTTGTAACACCACACCCCTCAGCCAAACAACAACAACAACAAAAATGCAACCTCCTTCTCTGACTATTTCTTAGGCATCTCTAAAAGCCCAGGGCTTGAGCTGGATTGCCCAGTTCAATCAATGAAGTCAAATCCAATGGAGTTACACCACAATGTACAGAAATCTAATTGAGACCACATTTTGGCCTGAAGAACCTCTAAAAATATTTCTCCTCCCCTCCCTCCCCTGCTAAGAGACACATTTCTACAAGAAAAAAAAAAAAATAAACCGACGTCATGCCAGTAGGGCAACTACATTGCAAAGGCAAGGGGGAATAAAGTTAAAAGAACACTAACAGAAGGACACAAGCTTCACCAAATGGAGGCTCACAATGGCAACTCGCCAGTCCCCTGAAGGATGTAATCAATTTGTATAAAATAGAGCAGACTGCAGCCACCCTTGTCTTCATGGCAGCAGAAATCCCAACTCTACCCCCTCATCCAAGGAGTCTTGTAGCTGTTACTCCATGCCACAGTGAGCTGAAGGCACAATTCATCCTGTAAGCCCATTATTGCTTGTGCTATTTTTAAATTATCTGTTCCAGGCAGCCGTGTACTTTTATGCACTCTTAGACTGATGTGCACCAGCTACAAACTGGTGTGTGCTTGAGTGCTGCTGGTCCCAAGTATAGCACAGCCAACCCCTGGCAGGGTACCTGCATAGTGCCAGTCTAATAATGGCTACACAGTTTCTGTTTCAAACTTGTCCTGAAACACATGGTCTTGGAGAACAGACACTAGTCTTTGATGTGGATGCTGCACAACTTTATACCGAGAGCCCAGGCCAACGCTGTGATGAGCACAACCTTCTGCCTTCTCCCTGATTCTGCAAAAGGGCAGTGTCCAGCCCATTGCCTGCAAGTACTGAAAGCAGGAATTAAGGAAGGCCCAGATGGTACCATCCTCTTCCTCCATTTGCAGTTGAAGGTGCTTTCTGCCCATGGTCTTCCCAGCAGGCTCAGTGCATACTGTCCCTGAAACCAGTCCCTGTCTGCCACTGGAGACCCCCTCATTAACTTCCAGCTAAGCCAGCTTTGAAGCTTCTAAATCTGCTTTCTACAACCTTAAGAATGATGAGAAACAAATGCATCACATCCTTGAAGTGCATGGAGGGTGGGGAAGAGGAAAAAGAAATAGAAAAAATCTAACGGGACCTGCTTTGGAGTGCTGTTATTTCAGTGATGAAAGTCACAGGTTGCCTATAGATCAGCTGGTGCTACAGGGGTGATGGAGCATGAAACCTCACTTAGCTCCCACTTCAGTCTCCACAGTCCAGCCGCCGGGGTCCTCGTGCCGACCACACTCCTGCCATTATGCCCATGATTATTCCTGGCCAACAGAAGCTAATCCTCACCCGTTGTGTTTTAGAGAAACAAGAGTTTTCCTCGTTCCGTAGCGAAACGCTGCTGCAGCAGCTCAGTGTGTGACCAGGAGTGTAACCAGAGACGTGAGCAAGTTGTGTGAGTGCCGTCAGGGGAAGGGCAAAACAGAAAAAGGCAAAAATACCAGCATCCAAATGTGAACAGACAGGACCCCTGATTTACGGGCAGCAAGCGCGGCTCAAATTGGACCTGCGCTGCCTCAGCCAAGGCATCTGCTGATGGGGTGATTTGTCTGTTAATGACCCTCCGACGGTGCTTTTGCAGAATCCTTGTTAAAATGCCATGTCGAATAAGGGCAACTCTGTGCCTTGTACCACTACAGCTCCCTCCTGTGCTGTGATTTGTAAAGCCTGTGCTCTGATACTCTAGGAAAATAAACACAATCTGGATAGAGAAAAGAAATACAAGAGTGAAACCCAAAGTGCTGAGTTCTTTTAGACTCAGGTGTGGGCCAGCCAGGCTTTAAATATTATTTCTGTTTAATCATGCAATAGCTATGCAAGACCTCAAGTGGAATGGAACAAAAACAGTTCATGTGCTTACTAGTAATAATATAGATTTTTGTCGTGGGAAACCGGTATTTACTGTTAAAGTTATTGGGAATTAATTATTTTCCTTACATTACTAGGCAAAAAGACTAAGAAACAAAGGTATTTCTAAAGGAATGCTTGGTAAATTCCAATAAAGGTAATAAAAAAAATCCTGTTTTTTCAGACAAGGGTCTATTCTCCTTTTAATTCATACTCAAGCCATACCACCCCAGTAACCATTTTAAGAAGCCAGTGGGTAATTCCCAGTGAACATCACACCGCAACAAGGAAACTGGAGGGGATGGACAGCCCAAGCAGCTTACTCCCTACTACCACACCAAACAGGAGGACATTTAGCAATCTCCCATGGCCTCCTACCACCCAATCAAAGAGGTGCCTTGTCTACGCCATCAGCTTTGCCTCTTGTTGGCACAGTTTGTGTGGCAACGAGCAACCTTTCATTACAGAATAACCCGGAGGGACTGTCCACAAAAAGCATCCCAGAACTTGGTGGAACATCAAAGCATGTGATGCCTTACAGATTACAATCAATGTCCTGAGGAGCACCAAAAAACATTGTGGAGAAAGTAGCACAATTCATAAGTGCTCACACCAAGGTAATATGCTCACACTAACTGCCTTTTTTAATGGGGGGCTACCAGAAAGCTGACAAATAGCCTTTGAGAGTGGGGTGTTTGACTTTTCTGAATTGAGGAAGAGACTAGGATAGGGAATAACATGGGCAATACTGTATCAGACCAATTACCCACTCAAAACTAATAAGCAGCCGAGTCCTCACTGGTATCGGGAAAATGAGAGCAATTTTGGATTCTAAGGTATTCCCTAACTGTGAGTTTATCTGGCAAGAAAAGCACATAATCCACAATAGATGGGAAAGTCAGCCTTCCTTCCTCAGTTCAGCTCACTCCCTCTGCCTGACTAACACCATATCTTCCCTTTCTCAATGAAGTCTCAGCTGGTGCTTTGAACTGCTGACTCTTAAATTTGCAGAGAAGACAGCAAATGCCACACAGCTTTGTTTCCAGTCAGGCTTATTTAAAGCTCATCTGAAGTTTTTCACCTCCCGGATCTGTAAATACTGCTGTTGATTCATAACGAGGCAGAGAAGTACTCTATTAATCAAACCCAGCAGAACAGTTTCTACAGGAGGCATTTATGTGAATGAGACCAGCATATGAGGTTACACTTAGCTAGGAAGAAAATTACAAGGGGATCTCAGTTCTCGTGCTTCAGGGCATAAGCTGATCACCAGATGGGGTCAGGGAGAATTTTACCCTCCTTCACTCCTAGATATAGGGTTGCACAATAGGTAAACTATGGAGGCACAAGGAAGAAAGAAAAAACTGATTATAGCCCCAGATTTCCCCCCCGCTTTCTTGGCATCTATGTCCCCAAACACCACCAGACAGAAGACAGTAGGTTATAAAAATTATTGGGCTTTGGTTTGGCAGTTCTTGACCAGAAAATTATATGCACAGGAGTCCTGACTTCATATGTCCAACCAACAAAACACTAAGCCCAGCCAAAAAACCTGCTCTGGGAAGCTAGTGGGCAGCAGGTACCATGTAATAGGTTCTACTGACATATTTAATACATTATAAACATTTTACACTAGTTACAGCTAGACTTCTAGTTCTGGGAGAACTCTGCCACAGCTCATGGGAACAATTTCTTCATTTCAATTCTCTGAGTGCTTTGGGTTCCAATTAACCCACTTACTTCTCTTTCTTAGTGCAAATTAATAAACCAGTTGAACTTTAAAAAGAAGAAAAAGAAAGAAGAAGAAAGCCACAACACTTTGTTAAAACCGCTAAGTTTCAGCTGGTATCATGTCAAAACCACTTGAAACATGAAACCAGAAATCTTCCTAGGTTGACTCAAAGACTATGTCTATAGTCAGAGTGCTTTACCAGTAGAGGAATACTGGTATATACTGGCAAAGAACTCCTCGTGTAGATGCAACTACAGCAGCAAAACTGAGGTTTAAATTGATCTAGTAAATCGAGCCAAAAGTTATGTTGACAGGCTTTCATCTAGGTGAAGTTCTCCAACCATTCTGGCAAGTGAATTGGTCAGGGGAAACACCTCTTCACATCCTGAATAGACATGAACATGACAGCATAAATTCTGAGTGTAGAAATAGTCAAAATTAGGTAGAGCTTGTTTTGAAACTCTTCTGAAAAATTTAACCCGCTCTGAATTTAGAAAAATGACAAAATCAGTTTATTTTGTAGGCTCCACAGTTTTGTTGCAAAGGTCTGGCATAGCTGCAGTTAAACATCTTATTTCAGTTTTATAATCTGTGACACATGGCACTTTATGATTTCTCTCAGCACAATGAAATCTGTCTCTCAGCATGCAATCATAAATGTTGCATACAACCCTCACAAGCAACCTTTGGAGAATTCTCCATAACCCAGTTCGTTTACTGTAACAGTGGTCAGCACTGGTGAGAGAAGGGAACTGCCACATGAGCAGATTGTATTATTATTCTGATAGCAACACCATTAAATGCTGGCTGCTTCCCTCAACACGAGTGCAAACTAAAAAGGCTGAATAAAAATGTTCATTTTATGATACACTAATACGTACTCCTGCACACATGGAGGAGAAGGCAAGGCAGTACGGCAGTTTGAGCTTCACCAGATTCCTACTCCATTTACCCACATTGACTATTTTAGACTATTTTGGAATTATTGAAAAAAAAAAAAATTAATAAAAAAAAGACATTTTCAGCTTCAAACACTCCAGAAAAATCCACTTCCCACCTAGCTTTGCTTGGAGCATATCTCTCACTCTGTCACAGCCTCTTTTACTGCAGTTGAGACACAAATATCCATAAGCAATTACTACCGTTGCCTGTGCAAGTCAAACCTATGGTTCTGTCTCTTACCTGTAATCTGACTCTGTCCTTGTGGATTAAAAGGACTTGGTGCAGAGTTCAGAGAGGGCCGTGGGCTCTGGGTCGGGACCCCTACTCTCATACTGGGATGAGGAATGCGCCCTAAATCACTGAGGCGTTCAGAGAACAAACTAGGTTTAGAGTCATCAAGCTTCTGTCTGTGCCCTGGAAACAGCAAATCATAAAATAAAAGCGTTAATAACAAGATTTAGTAATTTAACACACCCAAAATAACCCCAGAATGGACTCTAAGGACCTGTTATTAGATTTCTTATAGGTATCTCACCTACCCCAATAACACAGCGACACTGGGGGGGGATTTGTGTATTGGGGACAGTTCTGCTGGTGAAAGTCTTATCAAGCACAACTGTGCCCATACAGATGTGTAATGTTGCAATTTGGATTAAAATAAGCACTTATGAGGACACCAACACAAGGTCTTTTTTGGTCATTTTTCTCTTTTTTTTTTTTTTTTCCTGCTTTATCTACACTAGGTAATTAAAGGGGCAAAGTTCCTTTTCCAAAAGCAAGCCTCATATTTAAGTAGAAATTATCAAGTGGGACAATTATTCCATGCCTGATTTATATGTTGTGGATTTTTTTTCTATGAAAATGCAAGCTTTTCCCTTATTTTTTTTTCCTTTGACTCTGTCACAGTTAGTCATCAGCTTTCATTATTCCCCTGGGAGATTTTCCAAAATGTAAATAGTCACAGTGATTTGAGAAGA